GGTGAAGCCATTAATATATATATAAACATAGGAAATATATATGTATGTACATATATGTATATATGTATATATATATAACAGCTATTAAAAAAGAAGAAAGAGAAAAGAAAAGAAATACATGAATATATATATGAATATATATATATGAATATATATATGAATATATATATGTTAGAGTCTGTAAACAAGTCAAAATAACACCTGGCATTTTGCCAGGGGAATGTTAAAGTTCGTAAACAAGTCTGGATGGTGCCTGGCAAAATGCCAGAGGGAGTGGTTTGAGAAGTAACAAAAGCGAGCCATTAAGTGTGGAGATTCCTTATTGGTTGACTGATGTATCTAGTTTATGCTAATTAGATAAGCTGTGTGGAATGTATAAATACTGCTCCTGTCCTGCAATAAATGGCTTCCACTCCTGCTGTATCAATCTACACAAGTTATTCGTCACCCCCCCTGATTATTTTGCTGCAGCCAGACTGCGGCATATATATACTTCCTTTGTCACCCAGGCAGGCTCAGAACTCATGGGCTCAAGTGATCCTTCTGCCCCAGCCTCCCAAGTGGCTAGGTCTATAGGCACACACCACTGCAACCAGCCAAATACTGTTTTTTTTTTTTTTTTTTTTTTAAGAGTATTAGCCAGTTACTTTACAGAATGTCCCTTTGTTTAGGTTTGTTTGCTGTTTCTTCATGATTAGAATCAGGATATAAACTTTTGGCAGGAATACTACATAAATGATAAATTATTCTGACTAGACCACCTTGGTATGGTTTGTGTTAGAAAATATGATATAACTTTGAATATCTGATTAAGATGCTAACTTAGTGTTCTCCAGACAGAAAGAGAGAAAGAGAAAGGGGGGAGAGGGAGAGAGAGAGCACACTCGTGTGTGTAAATGTGTGTGTAAAATAAGGAATTAGCTCATGCTATTATGGAAATTCATAAGTCCAGATCTGCAGTGTAGTGTGACAGGCTTAGGACCCAGGAGATGGTGGCACACACCTGTAGCATTTGAGTCCAGCCTGGGCAACAGTAAGAAAGGAAGCAAGGAAGGAAAGGAGGGAAGGAGGGAAGGAGGAAAGAAGGAAAGAAAAGGACCCAAGAGAGCCAAAGGTATAGAAGAAATCAAAAGGCAGTCAGTCTACTGGAGAATTCCCTCCTTTGGGAGGAGGTCGAATTTTTTTTTCCATTCAGGCTTTCAACTGATTGGATGAGGCCCACCTACATTGTAGAGAGCAATCTGTTTACTCAAAATTCACTGATTTAAATGTTAATCTCCTCCAAAACCACTCTCTAAGTTGACACATAAAATTAACCATCATGGGTGGTATCTGCCAGATTTCTCCACTGTAGTCTACTACTATTTTTCTTTTTGTAATTAATTAAGTCCTTGGTAGAGAGATAGTTTGATTCTATGTAACTTTCATGATATTCACCAAAATTTCAGCCACAACTTTCATCATCCATTAATGACATGTTTTTTTTCTGTTTTATTGAGGTATAATTTATATATGATAAAAGTCACCATTTTTATTGTGGCAACATACACATAATGTACAATTTGTCATTAATGATATCAAGAACTTTTCCAATGTTGTGCAATCATCACCATGATCTAGTTCCATTTAATTTATAAATTTTTAATTTTTAATTTTTTTTTGCGATACTTGGGATTGAACCTAGAGGCATTCTACTTCAGCCCTTTTAATTATTTTATTTTTAAATCATCATCATCATTTTGGGTACTAAGGATTAAAGCCAGGCATGTTTTACCAAGGAGTATATCCCCAGTCCTTTTTTTTTTTTTAATAGCATGTGCAAAAATTTATTTAACAGAATGATGAAGAAGGGACAGTAAAAAGTTTCAACCAGTTAAAATGGAAATGCGAGATGAGCGCATATATATATGCAAACAGGAATGCTGAAACAAATATATAAATACATGTGAAACTAGCCAATATCCCAGTTCATTTTATTTTGATTTTTGCACAGGTTCTCCCTAAGTTGCTGAGGCTAGTTCTAAACTTTGTATCTCCTGCCTCCTTCCTGGGTCACTGGAATTATAAACATGGACCACTACATCTGGCTCCAGAACCTTTTTTTTTTTATTATTAATGAGAAGCCCTGTACCCACGAAGCAGTTATTCCCCATTCCCCACTCCTCCCAGTTCTTAAAAAACATTAATATGCCGTCTCTAAATTTGCCTGCTCTACATGTTTCATACAAATGAAATCATACAGTAGTTGGCCTTCAGGTGCCGGCTTCTTTCATTTAGCATAGTGTTTTCAAGGCTCATTCATGATGTAATATGATATACTACTTTATTCCTTTTATGGGTGAGTAATAGTCCCTTGAATGGATATACCACATTTGTTTATACATTCATCTGTTGAAGGACATATAAGTTGTTCCCATCTTTTGGAAAAGTGAATAGTGTTACAATGAACATTTAGGTACAAGATTTTGTTTGAACATCTTCCCCTCCCCTTTCACTCTGCCCCTCTCCCTCCTCCTTGCTAGGTCAAATCCAAAGCCTCATGCATGCTAGGCAAGTGCTCTACCATATGTCATGCCCCCAGCCCACCTATGTATTTTCTTTTTTTATATATTTATTTTTTAGTTGTAGTTGGACAGAATACCTTTATTTTGCTTATTTATTTTTATGTGGTCTGAGGATCAAACCCAGGGTCCTGCATGTCCGAAGCGAGCACTCTACCGCTGAGCTGCAACCCCAGCCCCCCACCTATGTATTTTCAATTCTTTTGGGTATACACCCAGAAATGGAATTTCTAGGTCATATGGTAATTCTGTGTTGAACCTATTGAAGTTTTCCACACCAGCTGAACAATTTGACATTTCCATCAGCAATGTTAAGGGTTATAGTTTCTCTATATCTTCACCATCACAAATCAAAATAACTTACCACATTTCCCTTTTATGAATCTTGCTTTTAGTGTCATTCTAAGACCTCTTAACCAAACCATGGGTCTCAAAAGATTTTCTTCTGTGTCAGCTTCTAAGAGTTATATCGTTTTACATTTATTTATTTATTTATTTTAAAAACAGTTCACATATTTACTGGCAGACCAACCCAAACCAGTACTACAGCACCTTCACAGCTAAAGAAAGATTGCATTCCTAGTTAAATATTCCCAACTCCCCGATTGATCCGGTGGTGACATTTTCAGCTTGATGGGACAAGATGATCATAACCTCGAGACAACATGAATATGGGTGCCATTTCAGGTGTAATTCCTGGCAGACCCATCTGGGTTCTTCTCCAGGATCTACTCTTGGAGTGTCTCCTCCTTCGTTCAAATCCACTGGGGAACGGGACAATTTTGCTTTTGTTCATTGGCCAGGAATCGCTTGATCCTCAAAATCTTGTGAGAAGACATGGCGAGGAACAGAGTCAAGTGCACATGCAGCTATGGCAAGAAAAGGCCAAGAGGGGGATGAGGGCATTTAGAAGGTGCCACAGACAGGTGGAGCTTCTAGAGTTTATATTTAAATCTCTGATTCACTGGAAATAATTTGTGTAAGGTATGAGGTTTAGACCAAGGTTGTTGTTTTGGGTTTTTTTCTTTTTTTTTTGGGGGGGGGTCTTTGCCTATGAGTATACAATAACTCCAAAATCTTTTGTTGAAAATACTCTTTTGCTCCATTGAGTTGCTTCTGCATCTTTGTCAAAAAATCAGTTGACTTTACTTATGTGGAGCTATTTTTTTAGTTCTCTATTCTGCTCATCAGTCTATATGTGTATCTTTCTGGCAACACCATACAGGATTGTTTATTTTTACCATACAGTCTTGATTATTGTAGAGATATAATAAGTCATGAAATTTTATGGACTGATTCCTCCCATTTTATTCTTATTTTTCAAAATAGTTATAGTAGTTTTAGTTCCTTTGCCTTTCATATAGATTTTAAAATACTCTTGTCTATATCTACAGAAAGTCTTGTTGAGATATTGATAAAGATTACATTTAACCTATATGTCAATTGAGGAGAACTGACGTGTATGTGTGTGTGTATGTGTGTGTGTGTGTGTGTACTGATGATTGAACCCAGGGGTGCTGGACTACTGAGCTAGATCCCCAGCCCTTCTAATTTTTTAAAAAATATCTTTATTTTATTCATTTATTTTTATGTGGTGCTGAGGATCAAATCCAGTGCCTCACACGTTCTAGGCAAATGCTCTACCAGTGAGCCACAACCCCAGCCCAGCCCTTCTAATTTTTTATTTTGAGATGAGCGTTTGCTAAGTTGCTGAGGCTGGCCTCAAACTTGTGATTCTCTTGCCAAAGCCTCCGAGTTCTGGAAATACAGGTTTGTGCCACCACTCCCACTGAATATCGACATCTTTATCACACTGCTGTTGTCTGAGGCAAGGTCTTGCTATGTTGCCCAGGCTGGTCTTGAACTTGGGAGCTGAAGCTGTCTTTCCACCTTCAACCTCCTGAGTAGCTAGAACAACAGGCATGTGCCACTGCACCCTGTCTACTATGTTGAATCTCCCCAATCCATAAGCACCAGTGTGTTTCTCCATTTACTTAGATCTACTTTATTTGTTCATTTTTTTTTGGGGGGGGGGCGGGGAGTTGTTTTGTTTTTGATACTGGGGATTGAACCCAAAGGTGCTTAACCACTGAACCATATCCCCAGCCCTTTTAAATTTTTATTTAGAGGCAGGGTCTCTCTAGGTTGTTTATAGCCTTGCTAAGTTGCTGAGGCTGGCTTTGAACCTGTGATCCTCCTGCCTCAGCCTCCAGAGTTGCTGGGATTACAGGCGTACGCCACTGCACCCAGCTTATTTATTCACTTTTAATTTGGATTTTAAAATTTTGATAATGCTGCAAGAAAGTTCATATTCCAATGCAATTATCATGGAAGAGAACTTGACCTCAACTTGGGGGAAGGATCAGGGATAGCTGTTCAGAACATGTCACTTTAAAATTGAGATTTGAAGGATGAATAAGAATTAACTAGTTGTCAGACACGATGGCACACACCTATAATTCCAGAGGCTCGGGAGGCTGAGGCAGGAGGATGGAAAGTTCATAAGCCAGCCTTAGCAACTTAGTGAGGTCCTAGGCAATTAAGTGAGACCCTATCTAAAAAAAAAAAAAAAAAAAAGAGCTGGGGATGTATCTCAGTGATTAAGCACCCCTGGGTTCAATTAGCTAGGCAAAGTAGATGGGGAGAAATTTGCAAGCAGAAGGCATAGTGTTTTCAGAGGCCATGAGTAGACAGAAAGCATGAAGCTTTACAGGAAACAAATTAAAGTTCCTATAGTTAGAGATCTGAAAGCAAGGGAAGAGTGAGGTCAGCTGATCTGGAAAGGTCAACAGTTGCTTGTCTATTCAGGCCTTTAGAGCCTTGTCAAGGATCCTCAGCTTTACTTGAAAACTAGAAAATAGAAAGCCATTAGAGATATTTAAACTAGGGAATATGATTATACATACTTCATTCCAATTTAATGAGTTATTCTCTTTCACAAGTTCATATGTATATAATATATCATATGTATAAAATACATATATGTAATACAATATGATAAATATGTAATAAAATGAGTACACATTCAGGATAGAAAATCGTAAAGGATATTCAATGAAAAATTTAAAAATTCCCCTCCCTTTTCTTCCTCTGTTCCAGTCCTAGAAGTAATCAATGTGGTCACTATGTCTTATGCATCTTACCACTGTACAGCAGCGAAGCCAGCCTACAGAAATAAATGCTCAAGTGTGTAAGAGAATATAGTCAAGGATACAAACCTGTTTTAAGGGCCAGGGAGACAATGTGATTGTGGGACCTCTTGTATGAAAACTAAAATTAAAGAACATGATAGATGGGATTAATAAAAAGCTGGAAATATCTGAAGAACAAATTAATGAGTTAGTAAATCAGATTGAGGAATTCTTTCAGAAAACAATATGGAAGGATACTGACAAAAATATAAGTTCACAGATATGAAAGCTAGACGTAGATGTCTGAACATTCAGATAATAGGAATATCCAAGAGAGATAAATTAAAAGGAGAGAGGGAATACTAGAAATAAATTTCTCAGAACAAAATAAAAACAAATAACTTCAGATTGAAAAGACGCTTAGAGGCTCAAATAGAAGAGAATAAAGAAAAACCAAAACATATAAATACTAAAGGAAATCTAAGAACAATATAGGTAAGAGAAAAATTCAAAAATGTTTGGAGAAACATTTGAAAAAATTGTAGAATGGCTACAATGGAATAAGGATCAATTCACATAAGTAAAGCAATACTTTTAAGTATTTTAAGTAATACTAGTGGCAAGAAAAAGCATAAAAATACTTTCAAGGTTTAGTTGAAGGAAATAATATGTAAACAAGAATTTTATATCTAGCCAAATTATCATTCAAATATGAAGACAAAATAAAGATCTGTCATATAGAGATGCACATGAAAATATTCTTGGAAAAGTATTCAGATACAAAGAGATATAAATCCAGGAGCTGTTGCAAAATATATGGGAACTATCTTACTTTACTCTTTGTTAAAATTTATTGTTGTCTTAAAGAGAGAGAGAGCGAGAGAGAGCAAGAGAGAGAGAGAGAGAGAGAGAGAGAGGGAGAGAGAGCGCTGGGCTGGTGGTGCAAACCTTTAATCCCAGCAAGACTAGGGAATGTAGCTTAGTGATAAATGCCCCTGGTTCAATCCCCAGTTAAAAACAAAAAAACAAACAAACAAACAAACAAAAACAGGTCAAGGATCAGAAACATGTATAAAGTAAAGAGTTGGACTCTGCTGGTTCCAGTGGCACATGCCTGTAATCCCAGCAATTTGGGAAGCTTAGGCAGGAGGATGGAAGTTCAAGGCTAGTCTCAGCAACTTAGTGAGGCCCTAAGCATCTTAGTAAGTCCCTGTCTCAAAATAAAAAGAAAATGTAAAAATGCATTCTACTGTAAAATAAATAAACAAATAAACAAACAAACAAACAAATAAATAAGAAAGAGCTGGACTTGTGGCCCATGCCTATAATCCCAATGATTCAGGAGGTTGAGGCAGAAGGATCAAAAGTTTGAGGCCAGCCCCAGTAACTTAGACCCTGTGTTAAAATTAAAAAGTAAAAAAGAGCTGGAGATGTAGCTCAGTGATAGAGTACTCTGAATTCAATGCCCATTTGTTATTAATTTTTAGTTGTAATGCTTTATGATTAAGAAACACAGTCTATAAGCTACTGATTTGTTGGAATGAATTGGTCTTCTTTGTGATCTAATATGTGGTGTATTACACACATACACACAGAAAGAGAAATAGAAAGAAAGAAAATCAATCAATAAATCAGTAGGGAAAAGTAAACATGCATATAGGTCTGAAGACCATCACCAAACCAAAAATATAAGGCTTTTAAAACTCTATGGAAATAAGGAAATGGGAGGGGAAAAAAAAACAATATGAAACCCAGTAAATGGAAAAGAACACAAGAAGGGAGAATTAAGTCATAAAATAACAGGAAATACATAATTATAAATGGGTTAAACATTAAAAGAGATTCTCTGTATGGGGCTGGGGTTGTGACTCAGTGATAGAGAGCTTGCCTAGCATGTGTGAGGCACTGGGTTTGATTCTCAGCATCACATACAAATAAATAAAGGTAAAAAAATAAAGAAAGGCATTTATTTAAGAAGAGAGAGAGAGAGAGAGAGAGAGAGAGAGAGAGAGAGAGAGAGAGAGAGAGAGAGA